TCTAAGCGAGGATTTCGTAATGAAGATTGGATAATATTTATTTTCTAGTTGTTTTTCAATATTGTATATGTACAATTTAAATAAAATCTATACCACATATTATGAGAGTTCAGTTCTTCGAGATTTTCAAGTTTTGATAAAATAAAAAATTCGGTACAGTGGCTTGGTAAAAACGATCATCAAACGTAACGACTATCTGGAGTCAGCTAAGTTGTCCTACTAAAAGGGGTCGTTATTTTGGGTTAACACGTATACTCACTGAAACTTCCGCACGACCTAGAAGAATATATTGGTGTTTACTTCGTGGAAATCGGTTTAGCCATGAACACAGATTGGTAAACGCACACGACCGCCCTTTGCACGGTCAGCTAGATAAAAACTTAATAACAATTGACGTTACACTGACTGCGTGTGGGACTGCTTTCGTTAAGTGCATGCACAATATCAGGGCCGTTGCGGATGGGTGTCGAAAGCGACAGTTTTTAACGCGGCAAAATCCGTATTAATGTGCTTGTAAAATCGCATCCAGAATACTAAGACCTAACGCAATTTAAAAGTAATAAAAAAAAAAAAAACAATGTACGATATTAAGATGGCGAAGTCGCTTGGCGAATACAAATCGGCCCCATTACGTTTACCGTGAAGATTGAAAAAATGAATTATAGAGAAAATTACCATACCGACTATAAACTACACACACACACGAGTTATGCAAAAACATATAGCGATTTGAATGTATAGGAACGGTACACATTAATTGCTGATGCGAGATTAAAAAAAAACTGTACACGACCTACGAACAAAATAAAAAAATAAACCATAATATACTTGAATTTACCTTACATACACACCATTGGAAAATCAGATTAATTACAAAAACCCGTGTAGTCCGGATTAAATGCGAGAAACGTGATATAACAATCATTGCTAGAATTCAGTAAACTTTTTTCCATAAAATAATTACCGTTTCTTCGCGCTTATAGCATACAACATTGAATAGAACTTCAAATGTATACTAATTGTTCACTACACCGCTTGAACAATCTGCAGACGCGTGCATGTTGTATTTTAATTAGGCTTGTGTCATTCATCAACGCCTATGTGTTCCGACTCGGGACAATGGAATAAAAAAACAAAGAGTTGTTTTCACTTGGCAACACGTAGATATAAAGGTACAGCGTACCTACACACATATGGCTTTGGTCAGGGAACGTCACAAGAGTTCAGTTGCACAATAATTATTATAATTTTAGTGTAACGATAAAAACAAAATTCAAATATTTAGTATACTCAAATCGAGGAAATAAATGAGACGAAAAAAATATATTAAATGAAAAACAAACACTAAATTATTGGGAATTTGAATAAATAATAAACGATTTAGTTTAAATAACAACACTCAGTTAAGCTTAGAATTTAAATATTGTTAAAATTTAAAAACTCTAAAAAACTATATGTACATAACAACTGGTACATACGTACAAACGGTGAAAACGGTTATTAGATAAAGTTGATACGTAATAAGTATAACCTAACTCGAGTTAATAATTAATAAAACAAAAAAATTTCCATTTTTTTTATATTGCATTTTGATTTATTACAAAAAAAAACGATCATCGTTTATTTAGTTAATTTAAACGCTTTAAGGTTAATATTATCCGAAAATTAATATTAATCAGAATTCCGATAAATTAGCTAGCTAAACATTAATTACAAAGTTAAACTTAATAAGATTTTTGAAGGCCTCAAATTTACTATCACGTTCATGTCTAGAAGTAGGAATTTTAACAACTTTCATTATTTCGTTAAGTTGACGAGACTAGCAAAATTCTTAAGACATGTTTTTTTTAATTGAAATCAAACGTCACGTCACAACACTGCAAATGGGTTTACTAGGCCCGTAAAATCTTAAAAAAACATATTTTTTGGGCATGTTGCTATGGTGCGGCAAATGTGTTCTTTATCGTCGCATTATCACCGCCTAAAACCATATAATTACATCCAAATCAAACAAACGGTTTCTTAATGGACGGTCTTCATCGCCGTTACTTCAGACACGCACTTTACGGTCTCACACGTCCTAGTGGGCCGATAAAGTTTAAGTACATTTCGGTTTCTTGGAAAATCATCATAACCGAACAATAGAAAGTTTCCGGTACGGAGGAAAACAAAGTTGTAAAATAAACGATAAATTTAATAAAGTTCAAGGCGGTCGTTAAAAAGATAGCAGTCAGCAGTAGTCAGTAACCTGTAGGTGCACCTATATGGTAAGTATTTGTATAGTATTATATATACTATACAAATACTTAACGTTTCTGTGGTGACGTCATCGAAACTTAAAACCTCTTTTGGCGTATGGGTGTTATAGGGATCGGGCAAAAGTATCGTATTAACCTAAGACCGACCTGTCGATAGATACCAAGCAATTATCCAGAAGAGGATAATAATTTAGAACGTAAACCAACACTATACATACAAATCACGTCCCAAAACGTAAACCGTATTATACCGAAATAACGTTGTCGAGCAAAATAATGACAACTATATCGTGGAAACGGCAAAAGAGTATCACACGATTCGACTAAAACCTATTGTTAAAAGATAATTTTTTTTGTTTTAGAAAACCGCCAATAAGTCGACTCAATCATAGGTATTGCGGCTAAATGATTAGTATTATTATTGTTTACAAAACAGTGCCAAAAGACGGTTTTAGAATTCGTTAAATAAAATAGGTTTACAATCGAATTCGCGTTCAGTTAGCACTAAAACTAATTAATTCCCAAACGAAAGAGAGTTAAAAAAAAAAAAAAGAAGACAATATACAATAACTAATAGGGTTCGAACTTCGACATCCGGGTGACTATTGATTTATTTTATAATGTAGTATATACTGTATAATATACATTGTATATATTATTCTTACCACGAATAATGTAAAAATAATAGCGTCTGATGAATTAAAAAAAAATACACATGAGTTCAAAATCGCTTTTCGCTGAAATGGTATCTTATACGCTCCGTTTGGAACGAATTAATAATAGGTGGCTCCAAAAACATACACCCATTTTTATTTAATATTATTTTTATGCAAATCTGTTCGGTAACATAGTTACCATTACCATAATAGCAAATTTTGAATATTGTTATTATATTAGATCGCCAGGAGTATAATATATTGCACGTGACGTACAATCCTAATTATTAATAAAGTTAAATCGAACATTTCAAAAACGACATAAGTCATTTTTTTTGCAAAAATTAATGAAAATATCTCCCATAAGAAAATTGAGTGACTGCAAAAACAACGTATTATATGTGTTATTTTTTTTCAAAAATTATTATATAAATGATAGTACGAATTTTATTATTTAAAATTTGTTGTATGTTTAATAGTTAAAGCATTTTAGACTTCTAGTCTGTAGTTATGGTATTTACTGATAATTAATGCACCTTTAATAATTATTTTGGATATAATAAAACACAAATTTGTGCAATGTGAAGCTATGAATTATGAATACCAAATCAAAACATGATTTTATAAATAGGTGAAAGAGAAAAATAAGTTCAATTTCTGGAGTGATTAAGTTATTTATGGTCAGTGTAAAATTGCAGTTTTACGACTTATGATGTTTTTGAAATGACTGATTCAGTTGTCAGATGTATTATAATTTTTTTTTTGTTTTGTAATAATAAAAATAATGTAAGGTAATTATAGTTAATAATAGGTAAATGCTGAGCGTCGCTTAATTTTTTCATAATAATAATAACATAATTAAGCTAAGACGGCGCACGTCATGATCAAAACTCAAGATTACACTAATATAATAATATAACACGTGTTATAAGTGTACACTGTTGTATTGAAGCTCCGTGATGTTCGTTACCAAAGAACACGAGTGTGTGACGTACCTATTAACCGATTTCACCGAACCACACAAGCCGTCATTGGTTTGTTCCTATAACGGTTTCATAAGAGAGTTTGCAATTAAATGTTTTCATCACTCTTCGTCGGTCGGTTATTTCATTACAAATTTATTTCTACAATTGAATTGTATTATATATTGAATAGTTTCTTTGCGCACAAGTGATTTTTGAATAGTAAAAATTAAAACAAAAATGAAAATAAAATAAAAGAACAAAACTATTATACTATTGTGTTTGTTTAAAGAGTTTTCGTTATCATCTATAAATTTTCTGCAAAAATTAATTTTCTAAGAACACTCATTATTTTAAGTTTAAATATTACTTTTGTATGATCGTATTTTTTTTTTTATCCACAAACCGTACTTTGAAAGTTTCAAGCACTCAAAGGATTTTTACATTTCGGTTATCATAAAAAAAAAAACTAATTTTAAAACTGTACAACACATTTTAGCGAAATTGTTTCCTAATACATTGTTCATACTGTATACCTATGTTTATATTGTACTAAATCTCATAATGTGAATGGAAAATTATCGTTGATACTTCTTTTTTTTATAAATTATTTTTTTTTTTACATTCTGCAAAAGCTTTTAGATTTTTGATGAAAATAAAATTGTTTCTTAACGGTTTAGGCGGTAAACTGAACGCGAATGACAACGGTAACGGGTAACAGTGTTAAAGATGTATACATCTTTCTTTAAACTGTGTTGTTGAAGTTTTTTGTATAAACACGTTACATTTTTTTTTGTCTGTTCAATAAACCTCAACGTCTCTACTATTGGCTCTCGGTCTTTTATATTGTTACCCAATAACCTAGACAGACTTTTTCGACTTGTAAGTCGATTCACGTTAAAGTAAATTGCGATAAATATTATATGATGAACTCATACTCATAGACGCGTACTCGCAGTTAATATTTAATTTTATTTTCTATACATTTTATGAAATGCGCGAGTTGTAATTGGCTGACCGAGACATATTTTTTATTACTGTACTCTAGGCGTTTGAACGTTCTGGTTAAGACATTAAATCATGATTACACAGATGTTATTTTTGTATTCTAACTGTTCATTAACCTGCGGATCCTAGGCCGGAGCGGGGAAACTGACGCACGATGATCGGCGTGAACACCCCCGACGACATGTGTAGTCCCTGGTTGAGCACGTGCACGGCAAACGACACCGCCACCACGATCCATCCCCATCCTCCTTCCGGGTAGTAGTGCTGCTTGAGCGTGGGCACTTCCGTTTTGACCACCACCGGGCATAGCACTTCGCTGCAGCTGGGCAAATCGCTGCAAGTGGCCAGCCCGGAGTCTAGGTCGGCTTCCATGGTGGTGCGGCTACTGCAACTGTCGACCGCCGCCGATGATCACTAACAGCACCGACCGAGGACACCGCAGCCGCATCCGCGTACGCAACACCGGCCACCGTCGTCGTCTTCGCTGTAAAGTTAACGCTTTACAGGTTCGGTAGGCAAAAAAATTGTGCGCAACGACTAGGGGGACCACCCGACTTATGCGATTGAAACGTTACGATGAATGCGCCCCCGGCCCCCGTTTATTTTCAAACCTGTTTAGCGTCCGTTTTGAGGCACAGACCAATTTTTGAAAAAATACTATTTAATTTCACCGCGACCGTGAGTTGTATGTGCACTTGCCGCCGAAATGGTTTCGAAAAAATAACACTCGCCAATTTTGATTTATGAATATCGAAAGCGTCCGGCGGATATCTTAGTCTGCAAATGGGGAAATAAACCAAAATATAATACGAATACGCTGCTCAACGCTTAAGTCGATATAAATAATACACTTCTAAGAAAATACTGAATGTGCGTTGACTGTTTTTTTTTCAATTAATCTCAAAAGTTAAGTCCAAAGGAACATTAAACAATATCTTTTACGGCGAAATCAAAACTTCAGAAGGTTCAAAATAACTACATAAAATTGAAAACTTTTTACAACGATTTTAACGGAAAATTTCAAATAAAACCAATACATGTATTGTCAGAAAACGTTATTAGTAAATGTACATATCGACTGAAAAAGTATAAGTTTAAATAATTAAACTTTGGCGATAAACATGACCGTCATGGAATGAAAAACAGATAAAATATTAGAAAACGTTAAGCCACTAAAATGAGCTGGAAAATTTGAAGCGCTTCGGCGGGCTTCGAAATGATTGTTTTTGTGAATTGTGTGAGAAACTTTCAAAACCAGATTCTCCAAACCGGGTTACAGCGGTGTATGATTTGGAAATAATAATAAAAAAAAATCAATTCTATACATTAATTACCGTGTTTATTGGTAGGTCGTTGGCAAAAAAAAAATTAAATAAACGAGCACCGATGATGGCTAACGAGATGGCAATAATTAGACGACCACATAAACCGGATTAAACGTTGTACGGGGCATAGGAAATGGAGAAAAAAAAATCGGGATGAATAAAAAACTTAATCGTGTTTATGTTTGTATTTGGAACACGTGGTACCCGTCCACCGTGCGCACTGTGTACATCAATCAGCTCAGAAACATTTTTTTTTTTAATAGGTCTGTTTTATTATAATCTCAGGAACAATTTTGGCAATATTAAATATAATAAAATATTATACATTATACACGGTTTATAAACAAACATGTATATATACATAAATTATTACTTTATAAACATTGATCGTTACTTCATAGGTGCTATTAAATTTAACGGAAAACCTCAAGTTTGGAAAATCGTAGCATTTTTTTTGTCGCACTAAACCTAGAATAACTTTTTCAAAACGACAACGGTTGAGCGCGGTCTGTTAGCACAATAAAAAAACGGTGTTTTTTTTAATTTTAAAATTTTAATATTATTAATATTTCGTACTCGAACTACTCGGAACGTGCGACGGCCACAAACACCGTGCGGAGGTCCGACCAACGCTTTGACTGTGAAACCGAGACTGATGTGTGTGTGCGCGCTGTGTTCACTGGTTGCCGCGACGGCGAGCTTCGGCACAACCCTCACCATTGCGCCGATGTACAATACAACATTATAATAATAATAATAATAATAGTAATAAGGTTAATACTTAAACTATTCATAATAATAATAATGATATGAGCTTGATCTGCCGGCCGGTTTTAGCCCGGAGGAGTGGCCAACAACACACAACCGTGTTACATACTTATAATTATCGGGTGCCGCGGTTTGTCTAGAGTGACTGTAACGTTAAATGCAAGCACACATATTATAATAAATAGGATGTAAGATGATAATAATAATAATAATAATAAAAAATAAGTAGATACACGTGTGCAAACGTCACGACGCTGTGTATCCATAATCGCAAGGGTAGAGTATAGAATTTACCGATATAATTATTCCACCTTTGTTGCCTGTGCGTGAAGTCAGTGTATATATATATATATATATATATATACTTAAACACGTACCTAGTAATTTTCTGAGTGTTTTTAATGCCACCCACCCTCTTACCACCTAGACCAGGTGATCGTTATTGTGTTATTACAGCTGTAAGTACTTGTTGTAGCCTTTCGACACAACAGAAAATTGTTCAACTATTGTCTCCGTCGTAAACCCAAAAAAGTTAACCAATCGAATATTTTCCGGTTATTTTGACCAAAAAATATTTTATCGAATTTTTGCCCTGACAGACGTTTGTATACTTTAACGCCCTACCAAGCCTCCCACGCACACGTTCCGATGCACGGTTAATGTCCTTTAGTAAGTTAGTAGATATATAAGAAAAAAAAACACCGCGGTATTCTTTAATAACGTTTGTTTAAAACCCACCGCGAAGAAACTAAGAACAATATTTATTTGTCGGTTTTCATATTAAAATTTTGCTTAAATGTATTATTATATTTATATATTCGTATTACTATTTATAGAAACGTTCGTCATTTTAACTTAATTTTAATTTAATAAAAACCAACGGCTGAATACAAAAATAATTTACGAGTTCCATTTAAACGGTTAACCGCAGTATTTTAGGAGAAAATACTATCTTAGAACGATTATATTAAATAACTTGTGGGTTTAATATAAAAAAATCAAGAACGTTTCGTTTATGACGTTACTTTTAATCGTTTATTCATGTTCTTTTCATCGCGAATATAGTCTCGTTAAGGACCTTTAAGTATTTGAAGTTTAGAATCAGAAGTTTCTACTGTCTATAGATGTAATATATAAATAAAATCATATTTCTTTAAAATGACAGTTTTTTTTTATCAAGAATCTCTTCTCCGTTGATCTTAAATGCACACTTCATCTAAGTGGATTTAATATAGGTATTGGCGTCTGGGAGTTACGGCACTTAAATAGCTTCAACTGAAGCATGAACAATTCTATCTCGGTTGAATATGGTAAGTGATAACGATTTATACTAGTGCCTGTGATTTTAAACGTGTAATTTAAATACACGTGTACACGAACCCCGTGTAATTAACATACACGTGTATTATAATTACACGTGTTTAAAAATGTATTTTGTCAAAAATGTTAGTTTGAGTTAACGTATTTACACAATTATACTTGTTATTGAGTTCGTATGATTAAATAGACGTGATATTAAACGTGAAACTAAAATTAATAACAAAACAATTTTTTTTTTAATACACGTGTATTTATAATTACACGGGTTTCATGTGTAATCGAATACACGTGTAATAAGGACCTCTAATTTATACACATGTCACTTCACAGATGTGACGAAGATTTGTTAAGCTCCTTCGGTCCCTAGTTTTTTACACGTTATTAATATTTTATCAATTACTTCTACTGTAACAGTCACATTTCGCTTGACCGTTACTTCGCGTAAACAACAGCACGACTATAGGTAAATCGACACACAGGACAATGCACGTCGCGTATCATCGAATTAACCAGTTGACTTTACCATCACGGACAGCCAATATCCTCGACCTTGCGCTCTATATTTTTGCCGTTTTACTACAAGCCGCCCATCCGACTATCTTTTGTGTGCGTCCGTTTCAACTCCGCTTTGACCAACCATTTCATCGTCCAACCCAGGTCAGAGTGTATATATATTGTATAATTTTTTATTTTATTTAGAAACCCTAATTTAGAATAAAACATCTTGTAGCCTGCAGCTGAGAGTTAGATTATTTAACAGTGTGACCGCCCGTTCTAGCTCCTCGGGCGATATATTAAGTTAATAAGGGAGACTTTAAGGCCAATTAGACGTAGACAACGGCCTAGCCAACCGTTTTCCCGTGGGGATCCGTCTATTTTAGCTTTATCGACGGCCACTTTGCCTAGTCTAGCCAGCTAGACAAGTAGGTCCGTTACACTACTAACACTAAATATAATACAAAATGAACATTTTTGTAACAACCAAATTTAACTTGTAAAATAGAAGTCATTACTAATTATTATCTCGAGTTTATTTTAATGACACAATGCAGTAGGTAATTAACAATTAGTTAAATTTATGATAACCCAAATATTAACAACCCAAAAAATAGTTGTTTGAGTTAAAAGCTAATTAAATTTAATAAAAAACTCAGTATATATATATTTTTTTTACATGTAACTTTTTGTTAGTGTACCTTTCATCAATCACCATATTTTATTTTATAGCACACAGATAAGTAATCCTATTGTTAAATATAAATTAGGCATTCGAGAAGGATAAACATAAGGAAGTGAACTTGCACACCTACATTTACCCCTCTTGAATGCAGTTTAGGTCCACCACTTTTAACATTAGGCTGGCTTATCTACATTATACTTGTGTACATAATAAAACCATTGGTATCGTCAATGCTATTTGACTGTTTCAGATTATAACTACCATTTTCACGTGGGATTTTTCAAATTTCGTTTATTCTTTTTTTTTTTTTTTTAACATATTTTTTTTAAAAATCATGTTAAATAAAAAATACTTACTGAAGCTGAACATTTGTACATATACGATAATATTTATTTGTCTAAATGTACTTGCTATTACACACTTATAAATTTTGTTAATTATTATTCAAGTAAATATTCTTTGTGTTTTTTGAGCGATGAATTTGAATGTTGTATTAATTTTAATGCATCAAAGACATGGGCGAAAAATGTATATACATTTTAGAACGGCAAAATTGTAAACACAAATCACTTTTTCGCTTAATACGTATTAATTACGACGCTATTCTGTTACAAATACATTGGCTACAACTTTACCAAACCGTACTTACACGTGTATTATGTTTTGGCTCCTCTTTTGAATTTCAAGTGTGTATTAGTTTATGTTGAAGTCATGTCAATAGTTAATGAATAATTCCAGCGTATTGTAAATGAATAACCGTCGAGGTGTATGTACTATCGTGTACACGGCCTATACCTAGAGTGTGAGCTGTACCAGAGGTAATTTTTGTACTTCCCTGTCGTCACTAAGCCTCCGGTCCCGTACCGTGTAAGGAGAGGAATGAATTATCCACGTGAACACCTATGTAGAAAATTCATAATTGGCTTTAATTGCAATGCCTTTTCATGCACGATCAACATGAGTAGTCAACTGTTGGTTGGGGTGTGCAGAATTGAGTAATTATAAGATAAAAAAAGATTTGCGTGGAAACGTCGACGTAGCCGACAGGAAGCATTTAAAACGATTATTTCGATATAACAACCAATGTAAAATATTATACTTAAATTCCTCACATACACAGAAAATTACACAGTTGGTCCGACTAAAATTATGGTTAATATAGGGACACGATAAATTTCTAGTTGGAATAACTAAATAAATAGTTGATCCAACTAAATATCTAGTTATAGAAACTATATACGTTCAGTTCGGCCAACTAATTGTTTAGTTATTCCAACTATAAATGTATTGTGATCCTATATTAACCATAATTTTATAGTTGGAACAACTATGTATTTTTTCCCGTGTATTATTATGACTGCAATAGCGACTCTGGGCCACGAGAAGCTTCTTTAAACAAGGGCGCGCACGTGAAAGTTGAATAATGTATCGTTATATTGTTTGACAGTTTTAGTTCTGCGTTATTAAAAAAAATGGATAGCGCGCGCGCCTCAAAAAATACTCACTCGAAACACAAACATGACATACTACTAGATTTATGCCCGCGACTGCCGTCGTAAACGCTAATTCGGGAAATTATTCAACCCAAAATATCTGTCATGGAGCCAACAGCACATAGACATATACGCCTAAAACTTTTTTTTTTATATACACGGTGTCTGTTGATACCCGAGAAATCGCATAGACCGTAAAGCGAACATAGTTCCTTTAATATGCATATCATTCATATGTATATATATATATATGTATATATTCTATTTGCGATACTATATTGCCGCACAGAACTTGGTTGTTTAGAAACATGGTGTTCGAGTGTAAAGTAAATATTATAGCTTTTAATCTTGAGTGAGTTTGCGATTTATAACGTATTTTTTTTTTACTTTTGTTTTTAAACGTTTTGATATAGACAAAGCAAATTTAGCAATTTTAGTCGCCGCAACAGCGGTAACTCGTCAAAAGCCATTAGCGGTATTCTGACGGGACCAAACAATTTTACATCAGCCGAATAGTATAATGTTTATGACCGAGAAACTTTGATCGCCGAGTGGACATTTTTGCGAATTGGACGTAACAGGCGGTGACTTAAACAAGCCAAACGTTTGGCCCTAAAAAGAGTTCGCGTGTGCGGTGGTGACCCCCGTTTAATTGTTGCTAACAACATACCATGGCAATAATTAGTAACGAATAATAATCCTAATGAAAGAAAATTCAAAAAGCTTTGACCCCGTTGGGAGTTATGTTCTTTCTTTATTATAATCGTTTATATTCTATCAGTTAAGCACGATTTTTTTTATGAGTGTAAAAAAATTGTAATTATTATAATAGTTATTATTAAGTAACCTTGGCGATTTCAACGGCGGTTTTATACTACACTAAAATCTTATTCTAGG